ACCGCAGCTTCTTGATCTAGACCTGGTGTTCATATACCTGAAATCACAAACAGAAATTGAAAGGAATCAGTAAAAACAAGAAAGTAAGCACTTGATCTCAAGAACAGATCAGAGCTTAATGCTAATCAAACCACAATTTGGCAACGGCGCCAATTGATAGATAGGACTTTTAAGGGTCTCAGGGCTATCAATCCCCTTGTCAATGTAGCACAAAGAGGTTTATCAATCCAGATGTGGTGTTAGACACTAAGCTATATGATCAAGTTCTTAATTCAAGCAAACAAGAATAGGTTTTGATTAATCTAGAGACAACTATAAACATAAACAGGTTTAAAGACAAATGACAATGACAAATGATGTGAATATGATATGATGGAGGCATGAGATTCTAGACATGATAGTTGGTTAGGGTGCCTTGGTGTTAAACTAGAAATGCTAATGACAATGATGAGACATGATTCAAATGATTAAGAACTCTAATCTAGGTTAATCCTCTCATGAAGGTATTAACCCCTATACTAATCCATTTTCAAACCAAATTCCCATTTGTGAAACATGAATCAATATGCATTAACAAACAGCTCTTAATGATCATTCAAGCATTTAACAAATCATTCCCATGATGAAAAATTACTTAAACCTCTAACACAACTCTTTCAGGAATTTCATCAAACACTTTTGGTGCATGAAATTCCCAGAATCTAGATCTCAAGTGATTATCAAGGATTTAGCATAGAGAACAGCTGTTTAGAGAGATGAATCAATGAATCTAGCCCTAAGCACTCCTAATCTAACACTTTAGCACCCTAACCTACACATCTAGAACCTCATTAAGGTGACTACTCACTAATCATACTAATCTCTCTTAAACTTTTGCAAGTTGAGTAGATTAGCATGATTAATGATGAGAAATGGAGATGGAGATGATAGATTCAAAAGAAAACAGCTTTAAACACCCAGATCTCCTTAAACTCTCTTGATTAAACACTCAAATAAAGATATTTCTCTTCTTAATGGAGTCTTTTCACCAAAAAGGCCAGAGACAAAGGGAATAAAACTTAGTTCTCCCCCAAAAAACCCTAAAAAGTATTTATACCTTCTTAAAAACGAACCGGGTCAGCCCGGAACAAACCGGGTCCTGACCCGGCTTTAATGGATAAAGTGGGAAAAGCTGCGGGTCGGTTCAGTATGTCCCAGGCCGCACACCTAAGTCGCAGTAGATGAAGACTTGTCTTGTGAGGCTTGAATCACCTTGTCGGAGCCGCACGCCTATCTAGGAGTAAATTGCGAGTGTTTCTGCGGCATGGTCTCCTTCCTCTCCAACTCGCAGGGCTGAGCCGGTTTCTGGGGGATGTAGAAACTGTGCGGGTTGGTCTCTATTGCACTTAGGTCGCAGGCTCAAGTCGGAGTGAATTCCGAGTGATCGTGCGGCATAGATCCAGGCGCGGATGACTCGCATGCCTAAGTCGCACGATTGTGGACTTAGCATTTCTCTTGCTCGGGAGCTCCAGACCTCTTCCAGTGATAGTTTACCCGCACATTTCAACTCGCAGCATCAGCATTCAGGCGTTCATCTTCAGGCCTGCGGGTTAACCAAGTCGCAAGACCATCTCGCAGCATCCAGAGCAGCTTAGATCACTTCGCATTCCGGAGAGTGTAACTCCTGTGATACTTGTCCGAATTGAATGATTTCGGTTGCAGAAGACAGAGGACTCATTTATCTCCAACTTTTGTGAAGGAAGTTTCAGTGCTTGGGAGGTGGAAGGCTTCCTGGAGGGCACATCTTTGCAGTGCATGTATACGACCAGAGAGAGGCGTCTAGACATGTGTCCATTCCGGAGGCCGTATCTTCCTGCTCATAGATCCGAATTGAATGCTCTTGGACGTTCTGGAAAGAAAACTCAAATGTCTCTGATTCTCATGAAGGACCCGGAAGCTGAATCGGCCTGGAAGTGCACCGTCCTTCGCATCCTTCAGAACTGATCTGCTCGGTCCGGAATACCTGCGAGACAGGGGTTTCTTCCGACGAGCTTATCTCTCTGCTCACGCGTCCGAATTCTACGATTCCAATTGCTATGAGACCGTGCTTCAATGCTCTCCAACTTCTATGAAGGACCCGCCATCTGAATCGGACCGGAAGGCTCCCCGGACAGGTGATTTCTGAGACTCGTTCGCACCCGGAGATTTTGGCCGATATACTTAATTCGCGGTACGTGAAAATGGCCGGTAAAGCTTCCCGCGGTACATGAAAATGGCCGGTAAAACCTTCCTGGCCAGCGAGAATGGCCGATAACCTCCATAGACTCAAGTTTTCCACTTTTTCAAGCTCTGCTCACCATTCCACCTCCTGGATTCATCTTTTCAGCTCCATAATCACCTGATAGACACTCAAAACATGCAAAGACTCATTGGGACCTAATGCATCTCCTAAGTTCTAAAACAAACCCTAAGGACCTAAAATACATGAAATAAAACATGATTTGGAATGATTTATGCAACCTAAATGATGCAAATTATGAACATATCATAGTACTTAGGGTATCGATCCACAGAGACTTAGTTGTTTCAGTACGAATTCACTGCAACGCTTAAATATAGATTAGAACTAAAAATGTTTTGGTTTTGGTTTTGGGTTTTGGTTGTCACTAAATCTAAACTAGAAAGCAAAGAAAACAAAAGCAATTGAAGGCAATTAAAACAAGTAAAAAGCAATTAAACTAAGGCTAATGAAAGCAGGTAATAAGCGAATAGATCAAAGACAAATTGAAAGCAGGGAAAATCGAATAAGAAGCAAAGGTTGTAAGCAATTAAAGACAAACGTTGGGCATCAAGGGGTTTTCGCAGGGACTCATGGACTAAGCTATGTCGATTTTAAACATATGATAAAGGTAATCAACTACGTATGTTCTAGAACTCGAGGCACAGAAGTATGAATAGCCTACTTTCGCAGCACTAAACAACTATCTCTCGCAACCCTAATCAGTAGGTTTCCACTCTGATTCTGGAAGGGAGAAGATGCAATAGCAGAATAAGACTCATCAACATTCACAACTCAACTACAGGTAGGTTTCCACTCCTATAGAAGAATTTCTCGTTTCACCCTAGTTCAGACAATCAATGAAAGCTTTCGCAACATATCATATCAGATCGGTTTCTAAGTGGCCAGCAAAGAATCACGCAGTAAGATTAAAGGCAAACGAAGAACATCTAGAAGATTATAAATCCTAAATCTATCGATTCATAAGCAAAGACACATGAAGTTCCCTTTGAAAAATCCCTTTAAACCCAATTGGGTAACTACTCAAACATATTGTAACAAAGCATCATAAACGAAATTGAAAGTGCAGGAAACTAAAGAAAAGAGGGAAGAAGAACGAAGAACGGAGAAGCAGAAGGAGGCGCGATGGTCACTCCTGCGGCGGCTCCTTTTCGAAGACGGCGGCGGCTCTAGGGTTTGTGAAGCCCGAAAATCTCTATCTCTCTCTCTAAGTTTGTCTCTCTTTCGATTCTCCTCTTTAGAATGACCTAAAGGGGGTATTTATAGCTTCTGGGGTGGTTCTGGACACTTAGGGCTTCAAAAATAACGAAAGGAATTGATCTGGGCTTTAATTAAGTCGTCGAGAAAGTGAACGACCAAAGTCCGCGGTCGCGGTGGCTCTACCCGCGGGAAAATGGGTGTTAGCCGCGGTCCCGGCACTTGCTCTCTTCTGGAACTGCATTTTATGTCATTCTTGCATCGGGAGTATCTGAAGATCTAACCGTTGGATTGTCTCCAAACCACGTGCATTAGAAAGCTGGTTGGATCCTCTATGTTGTCTCAAATTTTGGGGGTGATCAGACGGTGAGAAGGTCTTCATCGCTTGTCATACTTCTGACGGTCTGCATTTATCCAAAATTGCTCATTTGTTCCAAATTGCATATCTTTTGCCCAAGTTTCCTGTAAAGTCTTTTGAAACTCTAAAACATTGAAAACACTTTAAAAACCATTGAAAACAGAGCTAAAACACCTGCATAAGATACAATTATGATCCATAAAAGTGGTCAAAATACGGTGTTATCAAATACCCTCTACCAAACTATCAACTTCGATTTCCTCAATCTGACATATTAGACCGTCATCAACTGTTTGCTATTTCTAAAACATGTTGAACTTGACATTCATTCTCTTTTGTCGATGTGAGACTTTTACCACTTCAAATTTTTTAACATTATTTACAGACTACTTTGCGACACAACAGTGATGACAGAAAAACGTGGCAAAATGGTCGCTGATTTGCAACTACGTTACAACTACATTTCCTGACTAAAAGTACAGTCGCCATATAGTCAAAAATTGAGACTGATTTGCGACTATACCTAAAAACTGAACTATTCGTCGTTAAATAGTTGCTAATTATCGCTACTTAACGACGCCCAAGTTTCGTCGTTAATTACCGACTAATATGTGTATACGTTTTTGGTAGTTGCGTTGTCGTCGTAAAGTAGTTACAAAGTAGTCGCAAATATTTGCGACCACCATTGTGGTCGCAAACGGTAGTCGCAAAAACTGTGTTTTCTTGTAGTGATATAATATATTCGTTTATATTATCTTCTTTGTTTTGTCGTGAGCCATGTTCAAAAAACGCTATGCGTAAGTCGGGCGGTCGAGGTCCGCCTAGCGCCTACCAAAAAAATCAGGGATTAATCGGAGATTAATCGAAGATTAGTTTTTATATTTATTTTAATTATTTTTTAATATTTATTCATTTTCAAAAATTAATTTTATTGTATTAAAATATGTATAAACTAAATTTTGTATAAATATGCATAATAGTAGATCTAAAAGATATATTGGTGGATTGAGGACCCATATTTAACTCAAATCCATAAAAATCCATAACATTTTTTTAAAAAGTTGGTCTTTGAGTTGTCCCACATCGACAAACTTGGATAATTGAGAAGGGGAAGCTCCACTATAAATAAGAGTCTTCATCTCACGGATTAATTAAATGACAATTCATCCTCTAATTAGGCCAGTAGATAAATCTGGGCGCGATTGGGCCTGGTATTAGGCCCGAATAAAAGTAAAAGTCTCCGATTTTGTAGATAAGTCAACGATTTTTTTAAAATAATCGGTGATTTTTCGACAGAAAATTGGTTACTGCCTAACCAGACCCTCGAGCCTTAAATCGCGGCGGCATGCCTCCTCCGATCCGCGCCTAGGCGGCCGATTAATCGTCAAGGTGGACGATTTTTCGAATGTCGTGAGTAAGGAACATTTTTGTTAATCCACTAAATGCTTCTCACGTGACTTCTTCTTTATTTCTTTCGATTATTCTGCTGTTTTCCTTCCGTTTTCCTCTTTCTTTAAGGCTTATCTCCACTATTACACAACCAGCAACCTTTCTTCGATTTGTGTTTTTGCTTTCTTCGATTGAATCAAAGCTACTGGTTAGATTCCAACACTCGTCTCGAACTATTGCTTTGATTTAGGGGTTTAAATCCAGAAACGTGTGATCTTCTCTGCCTCGCGATATTTCCTTCACGACTTCTGCAAAACTCCATGGTAGGCTTCGTTGCTCGACCTCCCTCTTGTTTCGCCTCTCTAAGACATGACTTCTCCTTTTGTTGCTCACTTATAATTTAGATTTGATACCTTCTCAATTTCACTCGCATTTTGCTTTACTTCAACTGAATTCGAAATCCCGTTTCCATGGAATTTTGAACCGAATTTTTGTGGAATCATTGTCCTCCGGCGCCCTCTTGCTAGTATCATTCTCAACCATCAATTTCATGGCTAATTTTTCTTCCCCTTTTTTTCTTTCAGAATTTTGTAAATTGTTTTCTGCTTCTCTGTTTTATTGAGCTACCAAGTCTGATTTTTGTTGATCATCCTAATTTATTCATCCATGGCAAGTCTCCAATCTTTTTTTAATCATCTTTTTCAAAACTAGTGAGTTCTCCCATAGATACACGACAAAACGCTTCCACCTGATTGCTGTCTTCTTCTATCTCTATGCTTCGACTGTAGATATCGTTGTGGTTTTTAGTATCCCTCATGACTCTGCTGAGTCTTTACTCTCTGTCCAGATTGTGTTTCCGGTTCGTGGTGTAGATGATTTACCTTCAATTGTATTCTCTTGTGGTGTTATGGCTGAGATTGCTGCTCTATTGTTATCTGATGAATATTGAGATTTTAGAACTGTTGATAGACTTTAGACTGTTTTGAGATTGTTTCATCGTTGAATTCTGAAGAATCTCCGTCTCGAGTTAATTACTCTTTCTCAGTGATTGACCAGCTTAGTGAAAACGTAGTTCCAGTCGCAGTAGCTTCAGTGATCTTGTTGTATTCTTTATCCATTATGATGTCGTTTTTGTTGTCCAGTAAGACCTTATATGCAGTCTTTATTAGCTGCCTAACACTAAGTAGATTTCTATTTTTTCGTGATCTTTGGAACAAGAAATACATCGCTTATGGTTCTTTGACCCATACTTGTTTCAACGGTTAGATATTCTGTTTGGTTTATTGCTCCTTTGGTTTGAGACTAAATGCTGGTGGCTGTGTTTCTATGGCTTGGTCAATCTATTAAAAAAAATCGATTGATGCACTTATGTTCTAATACATTTTGATGCTTCTTTTTTCCCAGAAATGTAATCATTAAAAAAATTGAAACTTTTCGTTTTGTTAGATTTAGCTATGGATCGTGATGCTTCGTGTAGCTTGGTTTTGTGTGGGAAGTCCTCTGCTGAAACTGATACAGCTAAGCGTCTGAAAAACAATGGCGTGCTCAAACTAGCAGATAATACTCAGATTGTACTCTTTTTAGACTCTGAGATGGAGAATTTGATTAGAGATGATGCTTCATTCAATATTTCATTGTTCATGAACTCGATTTCAACTGATCGGTTTGGTCGGTTTCTCATTTGGTCTCCGCGGTTGTCTTCCACTCACGATGTTGTTTCCCAGTAAGCGTTTTAACTTCCACTGTTTTGTTTTCTCTAAATGGTTTACCTTACTCTGAATTTTAATTTCTTTCAGTAACTTCTCTGAGCTTCCAATTGGTTCAGTTTGTGTCACGGATATCCAGTTTAAAGGTCGAGGTAAGAGTTCTTGAACAATGTTGGATTAGATAGTATACTAAGCAAGTAGAATCGGAAACTAAAACTTGAAACCGTTTGTGTAATTGATGAACATACAGGTAGAACAAAGAATGTCTGGGAATCTCCAAAAGGTTGTCTTATGTATTCTTTTACGGTAGAAATGGAAGATGGTCGAATCGTGCCTTTGATACAGTATGTGGTATCTCTTGCTGTAACTGAGGCAGTGAAAGATGTTTGTGACAAGAAGGTATCTCTTGATTGAGTTCTTGATCCTCGTATCATAATTAGCTCGGAGTTTCACTCTTTTGAAGTTCCTCAATTTCAGGGATTGCCCTATATTGACGTAAAAATAAAGTGGCCAAATGATCTCTACTTGAATGGCCTTAAGGTTGGAGGTATTTTGTGTACCTCTACATACAGATCAAAGAAGTTCCATGTTAGTGTTGGTAATAAACATTACTCTTGTTACGTTGACTTGTTCTACTTCTTACTTATAAAAGAAAATGAAAAAACTGATCCTTCTTGCAGGTGTGGGATTGAATGTGGACAACGAGCAACCGACCACGTGCTTAAATACAGTACTAAAAGACATCTCTCCTGCATCAACCCTACTCAAAAGAGAAGAAATTCTTGGTGCCTTCTTTCATAAATTCGAAAAATTCTTTGATCTATTCATTGACCAAGGTAATGCTAAACCTCTGATCTCGGAAACTGCCTACAAATTCAGATTGATTCAGCTTCTTTATGACCATCTTTGTCACATTTGAAGTATTTTTTAAAAAAAATCTGTTGATTGATTATTTAGATGAGATGAGGCTAAGAGAAATGCCAATCTTATTATTATTAAAGTTTAGATCCCATATAATCATTTTATGTCAATGAACACACTGTACAGGTTTTAAATCTCTTGAAGAGCTTTACTACAGGACATGGCTTCACAGGTAACAGTTATGTCTTCAAATGCATTTTTGGTGTGCTTGTTATTGAAGGGTTTCTGTTATCTGAATATGAAACTGATTTTGATTTTTTTGTTTGTACGTATTCTGTTGGTCGCTATTTGAACTAAATGGCTAAACTTCTTCAATTAACATGTATTTTTGGAAATACGTTTCCATCAGGGCACTGTGCATTACATCACATTTATTTTAATCTTCAAAATATACATTGTAGTTTTGGCCTGCAATAAACTAAGAGAACTTAGAGATATGAACAATTCATCGTTGTTTGCCACAAAAAAAAAAGAACAATTCATCGTTGTTTACCAAAAATTGATGTGTCCCGTAGTTTCTTAATACATTCACATTAAAGTTTGGGAGATACAAATTTTACCTTGTAAGTACACATGTGCAGCGAGCAAAGAGTGATCACTGAAGAAAAAATGGAGGACCGAGTTGTTCAAAATGTTGTGACCATCCAGGTAGGAGTCTTATGGATTGGTTATATACAGTTCATGTCATTGTAATATGGTGTTTTAATCCTCTTTGCTTCTCTAGGGTTTGACATCTTCGGGATATTTGCTGGCTATTGGAGATGATAAACAAATGTATGAGCTTCAGCCTGATGGCAATAGGTAAAATTAAGTTAAAACAATTAAATGGATTACATTATTCTTATATTACTTGTGAAAGCTAATTTGGAATGTATATGTGTTCAACAACAGTTTTGACTTTTTTAAAGGTCTTCTCCGAAGAAAAATATGATTCAAATAAGATTTCTTGCAGCATCTTCTTGGTGGAAGCAGATGTTGTTTTAGCACCATGTTCACAACTAATATTAGTTTCATTTTTGGGAAAATAGAAAACAAACTACTTTTCAATTTATTCTGGATATTTTTCTTGCTTCCCTCTTTACTTCTTTATTAAGATGTTGCATCTTTTGTTTTTTAACTCACAAACATGAAATAAAATACTGCACAAATTTCTTCAAGAAAATACTATGTTTTTACTACTACCCAATGATTAGTTTTGAATTTGTGAAGTTGAATAAGAAGTGGGATTTTGACAAATATTTCAAGTATAATAGGACAACCTTATCTTTACATTTTCGCATACAAGTTATAGGTTCCAAACCATATAAGATTTTATGCCTAGTTAAATCGGATATAATAGTTACATACTTCTTAAATTGACAACGTTAGAATATGGTTATCATTAGATAGATACATTGTATTAATTACCAACCTATATAGATATAAAATATATTTAATTTTTCTCAAGGTCATTATATCCGCACAGACATGAAAGCTAGTAGCCTAGTTTTTATGAGTTTCTACTAACTCTTTTAGTAGTATAATAACATATTATTAAAAATATTATTTTCAAAAATTAATACTAAAAAGTTGTATTTTTTTTTTAAAAAAAATGCATTATGAAAGTCGTATGTTTGAAATTCACCCAAAAATATTTCTTCTTTAAATGATTATGAATACTATTGATAAATATTTATGTGTATAAAATATGGAAATCAATACTATTCATAATCATCATTCAAATAAATAATAAGAAACTAAATGAAATGGCCCTAGAATACTTTTTTTTTTTGGTATAGCCCCTGATTTGGAAGAGGAAGAATATAGCCTTCATTAATTGAAGGAATTCTCTAACCGAAAACGACTGAATTCTCACCGATCATCGTCAATTTCAAATCACCGACGATTAAGCCGATCCTCTTCGACGATCTGTGAGACTATCTTTGATACAGCCGATCATTTTCGATTTCAATTGAGCCGATCATGTTTGATTTCATTTCACCAGCGAAGAGGATACAATTCTTGTTATCTGATTAGTCTGGATCTGGAGATCGAAGAGATTCTCGCTTTTCGTCAGATCCTCGATTGGTTAGACGAACTGATACTTCTGAAGAGGCTCACGACAGCGACGTCATACCGGAGAGATTTTAGTGAGAAGCGAAGGAATCGGTTTCAGCTCACCAGAGATATAGAGATTTCACATCTATGATAATCATCATTGGCGAATTTTTCAGGTACCTAGTCTTCAGTTATCGCAGGTTTCTTATGTGTTGACAACTGTTGTTGTTTCGATTAAAGGATCTCTTTAGTTTCAGAGAGAAAATGCTGAGAATGTGTGATTATGCAGAGTTATTTTAGGAAGAGAACTAATTTGGTATTCTTAGGAAGGAGGTCCTAATTGATACATGAATTGAAATTTCTGGTTTTTTCTTTTTGATAGGCTCTATTGAACAACATATGGTTGAAGTCTTTTGTGTTTGTCGAGATTGGAAGAAAAATGAGAAACATGGATGGGTTTTTGTGATGGATTCAAATGAGGGATCGACTATTTTTGAGTTTGATGAGCATCTTAAACTCAAAGATTTAGTTGAGATGGTTCATGATGATTTAGGGATCGATTACAGAACTGTTATTGCAGTTAGCTATGAAGCTCCCATGAAGATGTGGTTTATAGTCCAGAATTGTCCACCCGTGTTTTTAAAAAACGATCACCAACTGAGGAGTTACATCAACTTAATTAAAACATCTTCTGAAGGGATTCATTTATATATAACTGTGAATGAAGATTCACTTACACATGTAATTCAACAGGTAATATAGGATTCTTAGGTCGTTTTTCTGTTCTCCAAGTGAAATCATTGCTGATTCTTATCTTTTAGGCAGTCCTTCCTAAACATTTTTTAATTTTTTATAGGCAATTCATTGATTAAATACTTCAAATTCCACCCAACTCACACAATTTTCTGGAACTGCACATGCTGTTTCATTCAATCATGGAAATCAACAGATATTGCAGTTAATGTTTGCACGGTTCAAGCGAAATCATATCTTATAATTTAGATAGACCTTCCTAAATACTCCCTCCGTTTCACAAAGAATGTCATTCTGACACTTTTTTTTGTTTCAAAAAGAATGTTGTTTTAGAATTCCAATGTAATTTTTAACATAAAATACTATTTTTAACCTCAATAAATTCAGAAAATTAATTATAAATATAATTCCAAGAGTCAATTTCTGCAAATTAATAAGGGTATAAGAGACCTTTTATCTTATTTCTTAATTTGTGTGAAGAATGTCAGAACGACACTCTTTGTGAAACGGAGGGAGTAACATATTAGTATTCCTAAATAATTCCTAAAAGCTCTTGCATCATTTCTTTCTGTGTAGCTACTTCATAGATCAAATGAGGACGACACTTCATCATCTGTGGCAAACACAAAAACATGTTCCGGCGATGATACTTTACGTCTTGCTTCAAATCTTGACCTTTCTTATATCGGCATTTCAAATTCTACCTAACACACACAATTGTCTGCAACTGCACTTATTGTTTCTCATCTCAATGTATCATTCAATCATGGAAATAAACAGGTAATGCAGGCATGTATAATTAGTGTTTGCACGGTTCAAGAGAAATCATGGCTGTTATCTTAAAATTTAGATAGGCCTTCCTAAAGACCTTATTAGTATTCCTAAATAATTCTTAAAAGCTCTTGCATCATTTATTTCTTTGTGTAGCTATTTCATAGATCAAATGGGGACGACACTTCAACATGTTCTATTATTGATGTTTTGTGTTATGCTCCAGATCTTCCTCCTCCTACTATAAGCATGCTACATCCCTCTGTTGATTTATATGTTAATAAACACTTCAAGAACAAAGACGAGTTGATGCTGCAAATGAGAAAATGGGCTTTGGATTGGAAGTTCGAGTTCAGATCAGCTTGGTCAAACAAGACGAGGGTGGTGTTAAGATGTGTTGATCCTAATTGTACCTGGAGGATGCGTGCAACAAAGCTCCCTTCTTCTAATTTCTTTGGGGTGAGAACTTATGTAAGTGAACACAACTGTGATACAACTCATAGGAACGCCAACCATAGGCAAGCAACTGCCAAGGTGCTTGGGACTTTGATCTGCAGCAATTATAGAGAAAAGAAGTATGGTCTTAACCCGAAACAAATCGAGGAGAAAGTCAGACTCGACCATGGTGTACACATTGGATACAAACAAGCTTGGAGGGTTAAAGAGTTTGCTCAGGATTTGATCAGAGGGACTCCCGAGGATAGCTATCAAAAAATCTCGAAGTGGTTGTTTAAGGTTAATGAGAAAAACCCTAGATCAAAGGTTTATGTTGAGATGAATCCAAAGGGGGGGAAAAAATACAGATTGCTTGTTTTCGGTCAATCGATAAGAGGATTTGAGCTGATGAGGAGGGTTATTGCTATGGATGGTACTTTTCTTAAGGGAAACTTTAAGGGAACATTGCTTGGAGCTAGTGCACAAGGCGGAGATTATTCATTGTCCCTGCTTTCATTTGGGATAGTTCACTCTGAAAACAAACATGTGTGGACCTGGTCTTTTAGCGGACTTAAGACCGTGATCCATAATGCGTCAGATTTGGTCTTTGTTTCAGATAGAGCTCCAGCCATTGCCAAGGTACTTTCAGTGGTTTATCCGCTTGTACATCATGGTATTTCAGAATCCATCTGGTGAGGAATATAGCACCAAAGTATGGGAGAACTGGGTTGTTGCCGTTTATAGAAGCTGCAGCTGACGCTTACACTCGTCATGAGTTCATTGGCATCTTCAATGACATAAGGAGCAGAGCCTTAAATTAGCTTCATATTTGGAAGAATCTGATTTTGCAAAGTGGGCTCGCTCTTATGCACCTTCGAACAGGTAAGTACAACGTTTAAGCAACTATGACAGATTTTAGAAATGTTATCCTAAATTGTTGCTCAGTCTTTTCTAACTTGTGGTCTTGCTTGTATGCACTTTCGAACAGGTACAATATCATGACAACCAACACTGCGGAGTCTCTGAATTTGATTTTAAACATGGCTCCTAAGTTGCCAATAATGTCTCTCTAGGAGACCATTAGGTTCACTCTCACAACATGGTTTCATGAACTTGGGGAAAAGCTCTAACACAAAAAACTCATCACACTACGCGTAGTGAAGATTATGTTAGAGAGATACAATGCTGCAGTGAAACTTGATGTTTTCCAAGTAGATCGGTATGAGTTTGAAGTAAAGAACGAGACTCCGAAGTACATTGTTCATTTGGAAAACAAGCAGTGCACTTGTCTCATTTTTGACATTGACAGAATCTCTTGTGTCCATGCTATTGCTGCAGCTAAGCGTACAAACAAGGATGAGAACAAGTATGTGGATCAGGTCTACTTGACGAAAACATGGGCTAAAAGAATATGCTGAGTGTGGAGATTTGACAAATTGTGATTTCCCAGATTATGTACAAGTATATTCATGCACACCACCTACTTGTAAGCAAACCAGTGGGAGAATTCTGACAAAGAGAAAGAGATCAGTTGGAGAGTTTGTTGTATCCGGTTAAAAATTCCAAGGACACAAATATAGCAGATGCAACATAGGAGGACACAACAAGAGTACATGCAGATCACCTTTATGAAGGTTTTCAATTTTTAAGATATTACAGAATTTTTAAGGAAGATTTTCAACTGTTATCGGAAGACATTACATAATTTTTTAGCAGAATGATGGCTTCTTCATTTGTTTAGAAATATATCATATGGTTTTAGGAATGATTTCCTAAATATTCCAACAATTATCTAAACCATTTATCTAAATCATTTTGGAATTAATACTACACTTACGAAACCCCTGGAGAAATGGTTTTATAAGATTTTTTTAAATTTCGGTTTTGATTTTCTACATGATCAAGACTCGGTTTGAATTCGGTTCAGCTTTAGATAGGTATTAGTTCTAGTTCATTAGCAAAATCTTTACCAGTTATTTATAAGTGAATGCAGTTTTAAAGTTTGGTTTGATTTATCTTTGATTTGATTTCAGTTTAGTTTGCGTTGTAAGTCATAGACTGAAGGAATACTAAACCAAGTTTTTTGGATTGATTTAGCACTTGTACTTGGTTTTGGTTTAGATACTTGTAATTTGATTAGAGGTTTTGGTTCAGTTTTTGTACTTGGTATGGATTCAATCGGAATTAGATAGGTCTTTTCATTTTGGTTCCATCTCATTGGCATCATCTTAAGATTCAAATTGGTTCATTGGTTTAGGAATATACTATTAGGTTTTACGAATAAGTTCCTATATATATATATATATATTCAAACAGTACTAAAGATAGAACTGAGTACGACTTTGTAATCGTTCTATATTTTGTCTCTTGAGATTTGATCTGTAACATTTGATGAAGTACTTATACACAGTTCAAGGTCTGAAACCTCTGATCCTAAGTGACAAAGATAACAAAAAAAAAAATCTAAGTAAATTCAATCATGAAATGATTTGAATCAGTATTGGACAAGTCTATATGAACCTGAATAGTTCTCGTCTTAGCATTTACAAAATCAACAGTTATTTTATGAAGCTTTTCAAACAATTTATGAAACATTTAACTGATTTTAGGATACATTTCCTAAGTGTTGGACAGATTTATATAGTAGCTTAATTTAAATACCAACAAAATCAAGATAATCAAAATACCAACATTAGACGTAGAGCATCAAAATACTAGATTAAACCAACCAGAAACAAAATCAAAAAGGGGAAAATATTGTAGCATACAAATCATAAAAGCAAACATAAACTAGTTTTAATTAAAAAAAATAATAACCAAAGTAAATAACTAAACATAACCAAATAGAAAGACAAATTTTTCTTATGCTCCAGCGTGCTCCACAGTTCATGCAAGAGCAGTTGCATCAAAAGCAGCCTTGTCTTCCACGTAAATCCTTGCTATCTCTTCATCGAAGTAATATCCTTCTTTCAATTTTGGGGCAGTCAACAACTTGTGAATTTCAGTGAGAACCTGTTTTCATTAAAATTTACAAATATATTAGCAAAGATAATAATCTAATCTAATAAGTTTTTTTAATAATACAAATAACAAAAATAGTTACAAATTATTACATCATTGATGGTGTACTTGGGACTGAAATATTAATTTGTTAAAATCTTCATGAAGATGTTCCCATGAATATTCACGTTGGGGTAGCTGCAATGTGCTGCAATAGAAAACAAATTAACAAGTTAAGAAATAAATTTGCTAATTTAGGAACCTCTTCCTAAAACAGTTAAAACCAATTCCTATATATAAAATTTCAGAATCAAGTTTTACAGATTTAAGAATGCTTTCTTAAACGCAGAAATACCTCATCAGTCAGACTTTTCTCTAAATCCTCTAACTTATTGAACCAGACAGCCTTAACAGCAATGTTATTAATTTGAAATCTTCATTAGTTACAATAGAAAATAGTTAGCAACAAACAATATGAGATAACAAAGATTATATAACAAGTGTACTCACCGTTCGATTTTCTTCCTCTTCTAATCATACAAGGTTGTTAGTCTGCTCATATGAGATGTCAGGAATAGATCAATCACCACATTGACTTTAAACGTTACGCATAAGGCTGGGTTTCATGGTTCCTGGAATGGAGTCCTGGTTGACGTAGATTCTGTGGGTTGGCATTTTTTCCTTCTCAAGAAAACCTCTCCTTGCTGAGAGTCTTGACCACTAGCTTCTTTGAGTTGGTCTGTTTTAGATCTTTTCTTGGTGTTTTTGCCAGCTTCACTAACCACTCCTTTTCGCAGGAGCAATAATAATAGAATCTGTCTTGTTTGATCCAGGCAGCTTGTTGGTCTGTAATTAAAAATTATTCGAATCAGAGCGCAATTTGTTTTTAGGTGCAAAGATTTTGGGAATGATTTCTTGAATGGCGTAACAATCTTCCTAAATCTTAAACTTTTAGGAATCTACATGTTAAAGTTTTTGGAAAGCAATTCTCTCGAAATCCTTTCACCATTCTCCCACTCCATTCCAGGTTGAATATTTCACCAGATATTAGTTGAACTTCATTATACTGAGATATTCTGACCATGTATATGTTTTTGCGCTTGACAACGATCACTTTTCCTGCCCACCATCTATCTTTGAGAAATACATCGACTTCTCGTAGCAGATCAAGCCCCCCTGGACCATCGACGAACGATGGTTGTTTAGGACGCACTTAATGTTTGTTGATATATTCATAAATTGCATCATTTAATGTACATATTCTAGTCAAAATCATGTCTCATTTGCATGCATTTTAGGTGTTTAGGCATTGTTTTAGGACTTAGGAGATTGCATTAGGTCCAAGAGAGATTTGCATGTTTTGGAGTGTTAAACAGGTGCTTTTGGAGCCAATTTGGAGTGGATGATGTGATTCAGATGAAGAAATGGAGTTGGAATGATCAAAAATGGTGAAAAGGAGCAATTTTGGGTTTCTCGGCAAAATGGTGTACTGAAGGTCGAAGGTTCTCGACCAAAATCCTTCCCGCGGGTAGCTTTCTCGGCCAAAAACACGTACCGCGGTCAAGTCTCTCGGCCAAAATCTCCGGGTGCAGACACGTTTCCGAAATCGCCTGTCCGGGGAACCTTCCGGTCAGATTTAGCTGTCGGAGTCTTCATAAAAGTTGGAGATAATTGAGTCAAGAGTTCATAACAGTTAGAATCAAGGAATTTGGACCACGGAGCTGAAAGATATGGTAATCGTAAGACGAACAGGTCTCGCACTCATTCCAGAGCAATCCGATATTCCTGAATGATCGCCTGTCCGGGGAACCTTCCGGTCCGATTCAGATGTCGGGTGCTTCATAGAAGTTGGAGAAGATTGGATCACGGTCTCATAGCAAGTGGAATCGTGGAATTCGGACGCGTGAGCAGAGAGTTAAGCTCGTCGGAAGGAACCCCTGTCTCGCAGCTGTTCCGGACCAAGCAGATCAGTTCTGAAGAATGCGAAGGACGGTGTACTTGCAGGCCGATTCAGTTTCCGGGGTCTTCATGAGAATCAGAGAAATTTGAGTCTTCTTCCCAGAACGTCCAAGATCATTCGATTCGGAGCTATGAGCAGGAAGATACGGTCTCCGGAATGGACACATGTCTAGACGCCTCTCTCTGGTCGTGTAAATGCACTGCAAAGATGTGCCCTCCAGGAAGCCTTCCACTTCCCAAGCACCGAGGCTTCCTTCACCAAAGTTGGGGATAAATGAGCCATCTGTCATCTGCAACCAAAATCACTCAATTCGGACAATTATCTTAGAAGTTACACTCTCCGGAATACGAAGTGGTCCAAGCTGCTCTGAATGCTGCGAGATGGTCTTGCGACTTGGTTAACTCGCAAGCCTGAAGACGAATGCCTGGAAATTGATGCTGCGAGTTGAGAAGTGCGGGTAAGCTATCAATGGATGAGGTCTGAGGCTCCCGAGCAAGAAAATTGCTAAGTCCACAATACTGCGACTTGGGCATGCTACCTGGGAGACACTGGAACCAAGCCGCATGATCATTCGCAATTTACTCCGACTTGAGCCTGCGACCTGGGACTAGAGATGACCAAGTCGCACATGTACATTCCCCAGAAACCTCCTTGGTCCTGCGAGTTGAAGAAGAAGAAGATTAAGCCGCAGCAAGACTCGCAAAACACTCCTACTTGGGCGTGCGGCTAAGACAAAGCGATTTAAGTCTCACAAGATAAGTTCTTCATTTACTGCGACTTGGGCGTGCTACCTGGGAGACACTGGACCAACCCGCAGTAATTCCACTTTACCCACTAAAGCCGGGTCAGGACCCGGTTTGTTCCGGGCTGACCCGGTTCATTAGCACTTAGTATATATAGCTTTTTGGAGAAAAACCCTAGACATGTTATCTTCTATCTTAGTTTCTCTCTAATTTTCTTTCTCCTTTGGTTAAAAAACGAGTTTGTTAAGATATATCTGAAGGGATTTGATCATTCCAAAGCTGTATCTTATCATCTCATCATCTCATCATCTCATTTCTACTTCTAAACATGATTAACATCATCTCTTGCAAAAGATTAGATGTGTTCTTCATGATTAGTGAGTAGTCATCTTTTAAGCTTCTAGGTGTGTAGATTAGGGTGATTAGATGTAGATTAATGATTGTTTAAGCTTAGATTCTCTTCTCCTTTCCTTAGTTAGCTGATCCTAATGCTAGATCCTTGCACATCACTTGGGTCTAGAATCTGGGTTTTTCATGCACCAAAAGTGTTTGATGAAATGCCTGAATGAAAGCTAACTAAGGGTTCATGCATTAATGTCATGGGAATGATTGTTAAATGCATGAATGACATATTAGAACTGTTTCTTAATGCTCATTGATTCATATTTCACAAATGATCATTTGGTTTGAAAATGGATTAGTGTAGAGGTTAGTGCCTTCATGAGAGGATTAATCTAGATTAGAGTTCTAAGTTAATTGGAATTTGAGATCATGTGATGCTTGCTTTATCTTTCTGTATAAGATTCAGTCTTTCTTAGCTCTTATTTTGATGCACAAAGAGGCTGTCTGGTCATTTTAGACTTGGACCCTTATGCTTGTTGATTGTTTATTCATCTAATGGGAATTAGTCTTGAATTGGTAATTAACAAAGGGATTTCTGTCATGAGAATGAATTAATCTGAATTGGAAGTCTAGACTAAAGATTTGCAAGTGTTGCATTGTTTGCTTAGCATCATGAATTCACATTTAAAGCACCCTGATCAATGATCACATCTAGAGGTTTAGCTTTCTCTTTATTTGAATTTGAGTGTTTGTTTAGTTTCTCTTGCTTGTTTAATTCTTT